TTTTCTTCTGCCTCTGGAAACGTGTGTGCTGTGTCCTGTTAAGGAAGTGGTATGACCGCGTGAACTTCGATTCTAATGGGTCACACGGGCACACACACAAACACGTACATACATAGATGCATACGTACATACATACATACATACATACATACATATATATATATATATATACACATACATATCACACACACATGTGCCTGTGTATGTATGGCCCGGTGTAGACATACACAAAAGCGCGCACACACACAGACAGACATATATGGACCATAAATAGCCGCCTACGTAGGTGACGTTGTGCGGCACCCTAAACCGAGACCCTGCAGGCGCCTTCAGAAGCAGCTGGCCGTAGCTACGGACAAGAACAGCGCTGCCCGGAAAGGACTGCAAAGCTACCTGAGCCAGCGTAGCTATTAGACAACCTATTCAAGCCACCCAAATGTACTCTAGTGGAGTAAAGGACGCAAGGCCGCCCGCGCTGAACTCTTAGCGAGTCCTTGGCATCGTGTGTCAGCGTCTACAGAATGTGATTGTTGAGCAGGTAGCGCTTGTGTTGCTGCCCTGCTTCATAGTTTCGATTTTTAGTTTTGCTACGACACTACTGTGGTAGAGAACACCCGGCTACAAAGGCTAGAAATATCCAGGAACCCGAACATGAAGCGTCACGAGTTCCATGAAGCCTGCCTGAGCTTCGAAAGGTCTAAGACTCGACGAGCATTAACCTCCAGCTGCGCTTGAGATTGCGGGTAGCACTTGATCGCGACCTGTGAATTCCTATTATGAACTCCCCGTACTGCTGCTGTCTCCTTCGGTTCCCTATCCGTCTACTCCGCGAACGCTGTTCACCCTTGTCATCATAAGTGCTCTGATTCTGAGGTGCCTGGCTGGTCAACCCTAGCTGAGACCCTGGCACGGTAGACCTCCATAGCTTCCTTCGACCGCTGATTCCGAAGGTACATCTGGGCCTGGAGTGGTCCATCAACAGGCATCTGAAGTTTATCCGAAAAGATTTTCAGCAGCTCCACTGCTTGCATATCCACCGTGATCTTCAATACTGCCTGTGTGACTTCATGCACATGCTTGCTGGTGCCTTGGACCTGGTACATGAGCTAGTCTACTAGCACTAATCGCCGCAATAAGTGGCAGCCACAGAAGAGCACGCGTAGCCACCGACAGCATTTCTGTCGCGTAAAACGCTTTCAGGTCGCAACTGCAGCTGCTGAAACGTCACGGACAGCTGAGACTTGCTCGAGAGACTTCGCGGTGTCTTCGTCTGCAAGGCCCTCCGGATGGTAAAATGCCTGGCTTGGCGGCCGTCTGATCTGCACTCTCTCGTCTTATGCACACCACGCCAGCCTCTTCGAACAGCTTCAAAGCATCCTCCCTGCGGTCCAAGACGAGACTGGCCTGCCAAATCCACAAGCAACATCTCCCATCTGACACGCTGCCTGCGGCAACCTGTGCACCAACCCCGGGCAGACTTTGGGACGCCATCAAACGAGCAGATTCGACACCGCTGGTGGACTGCAGCTGCCTTTGGCTCAATGATTGAGCTGAGCTGTGTCACTGCCACAGGTGTCACGTGAAGACAGCGGAGGTGGGAGCGACGTCGACAACAACTGGCGACGTGTGCTGCTACATGGGCAAGTGCATCAACAGATCTTTCATGAGCTCGGGCCTACTGTCAAGCAGGCAAAGAGTGGACGGGGCATCACACCTGATGCTTTTGAAATTCTGTTTCACGAATTCGAAGGCCTGCTCAGTCACGTCCTCCATGAAGAAATCTTTCGCTGCAACCCACCAGGACACCGCATTATGCACGTTTAATGTTCGGCGGACATATACGCAGCATTCCTGACACAAGCGAGTCAACTGACACCTGTGGGCCAGGCGCAGAACATCAAGGACGTTGCTATCTGCTAGGTCGACCTCGTCGGTGTAGAGGTATTGGAGCATTGCAGAGAAGGCCTCCTTCGTGGTATCTTGAATGGGTATTGGTCCACTTTGCTTGCCCTCGATAAAGTCGGAGTTCAGCATTGTGTAGAAGTACTCAGACCTCCGGCGAATCAGCCCAATATGAACGTGCTATGGCCGGTCTATCATGCTTATAGACATGCTGGACATTCCACCAAGCATGTTGGGCGACCCTTATCAAATATGACATTTGTTCAATGCATGGAAGAATAAAAACAATGTGGGCGACATTCATCTTGCAGCAACGGCAACCTGCCTTGCCATGATGAGAACCCTGCAAGCAGCTACCACCTCCCCATCCACCGAAAAGCTGATATCGGAAAGCGCCGGATCGGACAGCATGCGTAGCCTTACGGACTTTGTTCAGGGGTTTTACTGTCGATGTGACAAAATGCCAAGCTGATTGCTCCGAAAGAAGCATGTCCCGTCTGAAGGATGAAGGTGGTTGCAGGAGCACTCCGACTGCGCCCACGTTGTTCGGCGGCCGCAGCCCAGCATGCACCAAACGAATCCTCGCCGAGGAGTTTCATCACGCTTTCTGGAGTTCACTGTGCTGTAGGGGGCAGGAGAAGGGGTAGAGTTGAAAACGTGTAAATGCTTTGCCTGGCTTTTGTCAGTGGTCCTGAAGTTGGAGTAGTCCAGAACGACGATCTTACCATCGCCATCTACTGCAACATCAGTTGGGGTGTGAAATCTGGCCGTCTCCAGCGCCCCATCGGCAAAACCCATGTCTCCACCAACGATAGTGCTAACCTTCAGGGGTAACTTGTGAAGCGATCGGTTCTCGAGTGCCAACCTACTGGTATGATTGGTAAGCTGCCGCATTCTTCCCGTGCTCGACTGGAAATTTGCATGTGCAAGTTTGATATCACCTGCCCGTCTGGCTGAACTTTGCGAATGCGGTGGTTCTCGGTATCGGCCACGATCACATTACCGTCGCCGTCGACCGCGAGGCCTTCCGGGCAGTGGAACCTCGCCTGACGGTAGCTCCGGATGCCGCGTTTCGCAAGCTCTTTTGATCATGAAACAGAAACTGTTCTCTCGGCAGCTATTCCTTTTGATCTCCTGAGGTGCGGACCTCTGCACCAGGACCATCAACATAGCCTTCCATGCCAGCTCCAGCAAGAGTTGACACCTGCCCTTCTGGAGTGACCTTTCGAATGCTATGGTTGTTGGTGTCTGCTACGACGATGTTGCCCTGTAGATCAATGGCTACGGACTCGGGGTCGGCAAAGGCTGCGCTCTCGCCCGGACCATCCTGAAAGCCGGCAGTCCCACAACCTGCCAAAGTGCTAACCACACCTTGTGAGATTTTTCTGATGCGATGGTTGCTGGTGTCTGCCACGAAGATGTCCCCGTTTGCGTCGATGGCCACATCTTTGGGATCGTTGAAGCATGCATCTTTGCATTGACCGTCGTTGGAACCGGGCTCACCGTTGCCAGTCAATGTGAGTACGACAAACCTGTCAATGGCCCGGTTGACAAACACTTTGCGCACGCAGTGGTTCGCAGCATCGGCAACAATGAGGTTTCCCTCCTGCGTTTGAACCCCCGAGTGAAACGCGGCAGTTCGCACCTACTACTCATGCAGACCGGATGAAACCGGGTTACGTCTCTCTCAGTTTTGTTCAATGTGTTTCGCACCTGGTCCAGCGCCACCCCCTCTGGGTCATTGAAAGTCTCAGATCCGGCCTTGAGCGAGCGATGGCTTGAGGATGCTTGAGGCATAGCGGCGCATACTGTATCGTAAGGCGTGAGGGATCGGGTCGGGCCATGTCCCTGGCCTTGCCCTCGCCATCAGACAAGCCTTGATTGCCGCTGCCGACCACTGTGCACACTGTTCCATCCGCGGTGACCTGTGCCGACTCTGACGGACAAGGAATCCCCAGCGCATGCAAGCTGTTCTCCACGCCTTCCGAATCCGCAGATTGCCAGTGTCTGCCACGATGACGTTGCCCTGGGAGCATGTACTCTGGCAGCTACAGCACAAGGCAACCGCTAGCCAGCGCGTGTGCACACTGGTCTACGTGCCGCGAATCTACAGTAGCGGCAGAGTTGTTTGAAACAGTGCCATGCAGGGCCTCTTGGTCGATGGCAATACCCTCGGGATTTGCAAAGCAGGCAGTCTTACCAGGTCCATCTGCGTATCCATAGCAGCCCGTTCCGGCAAGTGTAGTGACGGCATCCTGCGCCTCAGAGTTCTTGTCCAATCTCTCTGAGCCTCTCGTGCTCCTTTCTGCAGATTTTGAGCGGGTAGTCATCTCTCCTTCGCTCTATTCCGGCGCTTACGCCAGTATGTATGGTGCGACCAGCCATTGCAAAGATCTCCGTCAGAAGCTATGGAGAATTGCAAAGGCCCTACCTGAACCATGATTTTAAGATAGCGTGCTGAACTTCCCGCCACGTCTTGCCAAGCATCGGTTACTCATTAGCGCCATATTCTTTCCGTTTTCGGCTTTCCAAGTCGCCATCTACCGTCTTTGTAACAGTCCGGTATGTTAATCAACATCTGAGTCCAACAACAAAAACATTATCAATTATTCCTCTTCTTGTTGGAACCTTGCTAGACCGGCAGCTTGAGCTTCGGCGGCTGCGGTCTGAGATTCTGCGAGCTCCTCGCTTCGTGGACCGGACCTCCCGATGCTACAGGCTTCTCTTGCGGAGCCCAAGCCCCCGCTGTGGAGACCAAGGCTCTCTGTAGGGAGGAAGGAATCACTTAGCATCTTCTGCCTCAGCCAAGTCCCGAAGCAGCTGCCGCTGCGGTGGCGACCCGCCAGCCCGTGCCTTCTTGATGCAGGCGTAGAGTGTTCCAGCATATTCCAGATTACTGCTCGTTTGGTCGATCTCATTAAGCTGCTTCTGGCTGCTTTGTGTGAGCTAGTGGTGGGGTGAGTGAACCACCATAGCTCATGGAAGTTCCAAATAGTGGGTTCGTGGATCTGCCCTGTCAGTCGTGTATAAGTTGATGTCCTGAGAGATGGCCGACGTGTGCTCGTGCGCAAATGATGCGACATTGGGAAACTTCAGAAGCTTATGCATGTTCGCATGTGCCCCCTCTTTCGCACGGTCGGCGTTCCTCAGCAATCAGAAATAGTTCGCTTACCGGCCCCCAGACCGCTTTCTTCCATTTTGCTTGCGCCTCGCACTTTTGGGCTCTGCTCCCGGGCACCACTTTATTTCTCCTTCTGCCGACTACGACGGCCCTCTCCCTTGGAACGCGGATGAACGTGGAAGCTTTACACTCGCCCCGCGAACTACCCTCAACTCAAGCCTGACCCCAGCACCGACGGCTCTGGCAGTACTGTCGCTAGGCTTCACGTCGGCGTTTTCGTGTCTGTCACAGAGAAAGCTGTGGATGGCCGCCTTGCCTTCAGCAAAACTAGGTGTCCCGCTCCAGCTAGGGCCGCGGACAGCCAGTAATGCTTGTCAGCCTCAGTCGACCGAGGCTTGTAAAAAGCGTTACCCAGGAGCCGGGATCACTCCGAGATCCAAAACGCTGTAAGCTGTTGTGCATCGGATGAGGCTGCCGCTGCAGATCTGCTGGACTCCGCAACTTCTCTCAGAAGCGAGATACCTCGGAGACGAGGGCGAGGTTCTTCACTGACTCGAATGGGCCTTACTACCGAATACACTAGCGCTTCACTGACATTTGCCCACCGAAGTCTTGGCAGGCTGCCGCGTAACCGATCGGCTTGCATCAGCAATCGGACAGTCTCCTAACAAATGGCGTCATGTCGGCAAATTCAAAGTGGCAGTTGCAACAAGTAACCTTGTACGGGAACAACCACAAGGAAATGTGGACCCTGGACCTGTAGCCCACGCGCCACGGCGAGCGCGACAGCACGGGTTTGCACACAAGGACGCAGACTCTTGCGCTCATGTCGCTGTCGCTATCATTCGCTATCGCACAGAATCCGCGGTGCAAACACTGGCTCCTGAGCCTTCGCGGACTTGCCCTCCTGCGGGAGTATATAATTAGTTAGCATTAGTAAGACTGTTGCAAAGTACATCCGAGTGGAAGCGCTCTTATTTGTGTGAAAAAACGTGCGGCAGTGACCGCTAGTGTAGTGCAACTAGCATAGCACCAGGCCACATCTCCTGAATCACACAAGGTCTGTGTGAGCTCAGCTGCTGACGGGTTCGCACTACAGGGAAAGTTGACACCGGCGCTCGTCCGTGCTGTGTGCGATCCGAAACAAAAAGACATAGTGCCGAGACAAGGTTCCGCGCACCTTGTTGGAGACCAGGGCGCGCAGAAGCAAGATGCGGGTCTCGGCATCGCTCGGACGCAAGGCCAAGGCCGCCTGTGGACGACGATTCTGTCGTCCGCTCCATTCTGGTACGCCATGCAATGTCTTACAGACTACTCTTCTGTACAGCTGATCTTCGCAAGATTCATGCTTCGCAGTGCTCATGCATAGCAGCCATCGATTTGGGGTTCAAGTGTGGTTTAGGGCCGCTTGGGGAGGGAGGGAGGGAGGGAGGGAGGGGGGGAGGGAAAAGGGGGAGGGCGGGAAAGGGAGGGAGGGAGAAGCAAGAGCAAATGCAGTCTGAGCAAGGCGATCTTTTACTGTGTACTCCTCGCCACCTCGCACAGTCGCCTGGATGCTGCCGTTGACCAAGAGGAGTTCGGCTTCGCTTGGCTTAAGTAAAGGCGTTTAAAGTTTGGAAAGCTTGGGATTTTCTTTCCGCGAATTCCGAAGCCAGCAGGCAAGCAACTTCCGTCGCTGAGCTTTGTGTCATGTCTACCTAGCTTCATGTCTGGGTATGTTTGGACTTGCTCATTTTTTGAAAAAATCATGGCCTCGGCGTGCTTGATAACCAGAGGCCACTTGTGGGTGTCTGAATATCCTGCGTGGAGCTGAAGGCAGCTCTGACGCACAAAGCTGTGTTGCAAACCCTGTGTCGTCCTTGTGCAGCAAGCACGTTCAGCGACAGGCCGAGGTCAATATCTTCCTTCAGGCTTAAAGCCTCGCAGAAAGGTGCATTATGGGTTGACTTGCATGATGCTTCGATAGATGCGTCTGCCGTCTGTGAGGAAGACGAAGCCTTGCTACATTTGCTACAAACCTGTGAGCCTGAGCCCACCGTCAGACAGTCACTACCCTGAATCTGCCCTCAGATTCCTTCCGCCTCTTGCACGGCGCGGAAGGCATCACGCTTCGCTCCAGTGGCTAAGCGCGCTCGCGCCAGAGCAACCCAAGCCTCGTCTGAAAGAGCTGACATCATACTGGAAGATCGCTCCAGCCAGACACGGAGCGATGCAACGGCAGAGTCGCCCTAAATCAGATCTCCCAGCGCCTGCGGGTCCTTCGGAAAATTCCGTTGAAACTCTTGAAGCTCAGGCATGGCCTCTTCAGGACAAGTGGTGGCGTTATGAGTGCTGTTGTCATCATCATGTATCATTAGCAGTAACGGCAGCGGCAGTACTAGTACAACAGTTTGTCACAGCTGAAGCAGTAGCACTGGTAGTGGCAGCAGTGGTAGTGACTGGTAGTGGTGGTAGCAGTAGCAGTAGGAGCGCAGGAGTAGTAGTAGTAGTAGTAGTAGTAGTAGTAGCAGTAGTAGTAGTAGTAGTCGTGGTGGTGGTGGTGGTGGTAGTAGTAGTAGTAGTGGCAACAGCTGCAGCAGCAGCAGCAGCAGCGCGAGTGGTAGTGGTAGTGGTGGTGGTGGTAATGGCACTAGCAGCAGCAGGACTAGGAGTAGGAGTAGGAGTAGGAGCAGGAGGAGTAGGAGTAGGAGTAGGAGTAGGAGTAGTAGTAGTAGTAGTAGTAGCAGTAGCAGCAGTAGTAGTAGTAGTAGTAGTAATAATTAGTAATACTAGTAATTATTATTATTATTATTATTATTATTAGTAGTAGTAGTAGTAGTAGTAATTAGTAGTAGTATTATTAGTAGTAGTAGTAGCAGTGGAAGTAGCAGTGGAAGTAGCAGCAGCAGTAGCAGTAG